AAGAACTAAAACGTGGTTGGAGAAAAGTTCGATCCGACGTAGTTTTTGAAAGTTGTAATTCATGGACTGCTCGTTTGTTAAAGGTTTCAAAAAACAATGGAGAACATTTGAATAAATAAAAGAAGTTGATTTTTGTAGAGAATTAAATTGTACGTTTTTAAAAAAAAAATTAGGTCGCTACGATTATCTTTTATTGAGCTATTAAAAAAATACGCAGAGGGACATTTCTGTTGGGACACCCGATATATATAAAATATATGTTTATGTTTAAAAATGAATTAACAAAATAAGTTGTAAATAAATAATATTGCGTTTTAGAATATATTCAATTAAACAAAGTATTATTCAATTAGATTTAAATGATCGATGAAAACACACGCATTATATTTTTCTTCTATTATTCTTCGATAGAAAAAAAAAGGCGCCCGATTGTGTTGTTTATTGCTATTGAATAGAAAAAAAGAAAAAATTGTCGTCGGCAACCATTAACGTTAACTATGATCAAGGCGCGTTATTTCAGTATTTTTCTTCTAATAGAAAGGGCATATTTTTCTCTGCTCGTTCTCTCTGTTGATGGTTGCATTTCTTTTTTCTCTCGACTAGTCCTGTTCGTCTTGTGTTCGCATTTTTGTTTTTTATGTGTGCGTGGGTATCCGTCGTTTTTCTCTTTATGCATTAGCACTCGACAGAGTGCGATCATTTTCTTTCATAGATTTCTTCAAGCAACTTGGACTGCACAAACAATATTTCTTTCGAAAAACTTCACAGATTGATGTTGAAAAAAAAACAACATTAAAAATCAAATTTAAATGTTTATATTATTAATTTATTGAAATTCGTTTTCTTATTAATTAAATAATCGATTATATTTTAATCAACATTATTAAATAAAATGTTATATTTATGTTTATTTATTATTTAAAAATTATTTCAAGAGTTTTGTTGTTTTTTCATTATTATTAATCGTTAATTTTATCTTTTTACATAAAGATAAACTAGATATTTAATTCTTAATAATAGATTATATTTTATTAATTTTGTTCGGTTTGTAAACAAAATGAAATAAAAAGATAATAATTGTCAATGTTTAACTTGATTTATTTTTATCTTTTCTTTGATGAATTAAAAAACATCGAAAAGAGAAAAAAAATCTATTATTAATAGTAAAATGTCTAATTAGTATTTATGTTATGGTAAATATATTGACAAATGAAATAAAAAAAAATCTTTGAAAATTTTTTCAAATAATAAATAATAATAATTAAAATATAATCGATAATTATGTTAAGAGAAAGAAAAAAAAACTCTTATGTTTTTTCTTATTATATTTAATTTCAATATATATTTTGTTTTTTTATTTTTAGAAAGTTTAACCTACACGTGTTACTAGAAACATTTTCATCATGGGTGTATTTGATATCGTTCCACCAGGTAAGGATTTATTTTATTTTATTTTATCAAAAAAATAACAAAAAAGTAACAAAAAATAAAATATTTGTTGCAGGTGTATTAACCGGTGACTCTGTTATGAAATTGTTTTTATATGCAAAAGAACATCATTTTGCTATTCCATCTTTTAATGTAACATCTTCATCAGCTATAAATGCAGTTCTTGAAGCTGCTCGAGATGCTAAATCACCTGTTATTATACAATTATCACAAGGTGGAGCTCAATTTTTTGCTGGAAAAGGTCTTAGCAATGATGGTCAAGCAGCAAGTATTTTAGGTTCTGTTGCTGCAGCCCATCATGTACGAAATGTAGCTAAAGCATATGGTGTACCTGTCATTCTTCATAGTGATCATTGTGCCAAGAAATTAGAACCATGGTAAGTTATATTTATCTTTTCTTATATTTGAATATTGATTAAATCTGAATTGGATTTTTTTAATATTGACTCATATAGATAAATAAAACGTATTTTTAATGTCAACTATAGACGACTACTTGAATATGTTTAAAAAAAAATGAGAAATTTTTCAATTTGTCTACAATAAAATTTCAATATTTTTTTTGATGATTTAAAGAAAAAGTCTTTAAAAAAAATATTCAATTCTAATTCGATAAAGAATTTTCTGAGAAGAATTAATATAAGTGAAAATGAAATTTGACTAACTTTATTTTGGTAAAAAGTTTTCTATATAATTTTACAATGAATATAAGATTCATAAATGCAAATAGACGTTTTTATTCCCATTTACTGATGTACTTTAATCAATCATAACAATATTTATTTTGTTTTATGATCTTTAACTTAATTATTATCATTTTAACAACAATATAGATAATAATCTAGAATAGAGAGAAAATCATTTCATTCTATATAATGTTCATATTGTTCTATAGAATATTTAATAAATATGCGCATATTAATCGATCGATTTTCTAAAAATAATTACAATTTGATTTATCTCAGGATAAATAGTAAATATTTTTATTTTATTTGTTTTATCAATTTTTATTTTCATTGTCTTTAGACAAGATTAATCGGATATTTTTCATGTTCTCTCAAATCTAGACGAAAACTAATCACTATTTAAGATAATCTAGAATCTGTTAATTGTCACTATAAAAATGTCTAAAGATAACATTTAATTATAAATTATAATTAATATTTATGATAATTTGTCAAATTGATGTTAGTTTATAGTTTATATAAATAATAGTGGAGACTTTTTAATTTATTATTTTTGTTGATCATGATGATATTATTTGTTTGGGATAAATATCGTTTATATATTTCAATGATGATCGATTATCTGATTATAATCTATCGAGAAAAATGTTAAGATCACCAACATATGATTCAATATAAAATAAATATTGTAATTCATAGATAGAACAAATTAAACGATTTTATTTATACTTTTAAAAATCTACTTATAGTTAAGTTAATAAATGTTTACTTTGTTCTGAAATATTATTATACTCTGTAAACTTCTATTTCGAGTGAAAATATTTAGTAAATAAAATAATTTTTGTTTTTTTTTTTTTTTTTCTTATATATTAATATAAATTGAAGAATGAAAATAAGTTCCAAAGTGATAGAGATTAATTAGAATAAAAAGTCTATTTTAATAGTTAAGTTTTAATTTTCAGTATAGAATTTATCAGTTTGTTGTTATACTATCATCAAAATTTTAAATTTATTTTTTAGTTAAATATTATTGA